GGGACGCCCCCATCCCTGCCCCCCTCCCAACTACCCCCCCAACAACAACTCGAAACCATGCCCCACACCATCGCCTACCGCTCGCGGCTTGCCGCGCTGCAGAAGCGGCGCGAGCTGGCGCGTCGGCGCGTCGAGGAGGAGCATGCCAAGAAGGATGCGCGGTGGGCGACGCTGCCGCGGAATGTGGTGAGTGGCGGGCCGGTGGTGTGGCGGGGGCTGGGTGCGGATGCGCAGGCGAAGGAGGATTTGTTGCGGCGGTGTTGGGTGGTGGTGGAGGTTTTGAGGGCGGCGGGGAGGAGGGGGCCGGGGAGGGAGTTGTTGGGGATGGTGTTGGGGTTGGTGGAGAGGGGGGTGGGAGGGGGAAGTTTGTGGGTGTTGGGGGGCGCCGGTGTGGGTGCGCAGATGAGTGGGATGTGGTGGATGGGAGGAGGGTGCCGAGGTATTTGGATGCTGGGGAGGTGGAGTGGTTGAGGTTTTTGGGGGGGGAGTGCGTGAATGGGTTGAACTATACGGGGCGGTTTTTGCCGGATACGCCGAGGGATAAGTACAGGCTGTTTCAGCTGTTTGCGAAGAAGGTGAAGAAGCTGCTAGATGATAAGAATCCGGAGGGGCTGTTTAGCTCGCATGACGCCAGCGTCGAGGTCGAGGACCTGTTGAAGGCCATCAATGCTGGGAAAGACAGCAGCGCGGTTGTCAAGCACGAGTTCAAGCCGCATGATGCCTGCAAATGGCTCGACAGGATGAAGGATAGGGGGTATCTAAGGTGAGGAATGATAGGGCCCCGGGTGTTGTGTTATGCTTTCAGGGGTAGTATATATATGCGCATACTTACACTAACACTCCCAGGTTCCACCTCGACCCAACATGCTACGGCGTCGTCAGACGCCCTATCTGCGACTACTTCCCAGAGCACCGCGTCATCTGGCCACGGCAAACACCAACCGGCGACCACAAGCGGCCCAGCTACCACCCCGATTCCATCGCCGACTGGGACACGGTCATCAACGAGGGCGAGGAACCCCGCATCAGCGAAGGCAGCGACATCTGGGAATTCTTCCAGGCCCTCGCCTTCCGCCTCGGCTACACCATCTCCATGCTCGAGCAAGAACGCCGCCAACACCCCCCGCAACCCATCCCCGCCACCCACCTCCGCGACTCCATCCGCGCCTGGTCACGGACCTGCGCCCGCCTCGAACGCACCACACCCCCTTCCCCCACGGCTGCACCAACCACAGCCGCACCAACCGCAGCCACACCAACACCAGACAAACTCGACCTCATCCGCACGCAGCTCATCAACGAACTGCACCTCAACCAAACCATGCTCGCGCCCGGCCGCGCCCAGCACTACCTCGACGCCTCCGGCACGCGCCAAACCGTCCTCGTGCGCGACCACAACTGGGACTGGGCGGCCATCACGGGCGCGGGGCGCGCAGGGGAGAAGGAGGGGGGGCGTCAGTCCCGGAGCAAGAAGGGCAAGAAGGGGAAGAAGGAGAAGAGGCGCCAGTTCTGGTCCATCAACCGGTGGCCGGTGGAGGACGGTGGCGCGGGGTATCTGACCGCTGAGGCGGCGCGGGCGGTGCGGGAGGATGCGTATGCGGATCCGGCGGTCGGGTATGATCCTGTGGCGGTGGATCGGACGACGGAGTGGTGGTATTTGAGGCCCAAGTTGCAGAGGTATCGCCAGGAGAAGGCGGTGTTTCGGAAGGGGCCGGCGGTGTATCCGGTGGGGGATACGCGGCTGCAGAGGGAGGTGGTTAGGGAGAGGATGGTGGAGATGGTGGAGAGGGGTGAGTTTTGCTTTTCTTTTTCCCTTTTTCTGTTCCTTTCCCTCTTGTTATTTATTTCCCTGTGCTTCTTACGCTGGTTTTGGGGTTTGTGTACTAACTACGTTGAACAGCTACTGGGCTAGACATGGAAGAACCTACCTGGGGCGAGGCACTAATGGCAGGACTGAATCCCTTTTCACGCTCTCCATCGCGCGTTGAGGACCGGGAGGCGGAGGGCAAGTTACCACCTGTCAAACCCGGGGATATTCCGAGGAGCTGGGATCCCGTTGCCGAGGCGGAGCGCGCGGCTACCGTGGAGGCCGAGTCGGACTACGAAACGGAGGAGGACATCGATGAGGAGGATGAGGTTGGAAGTGTAGATGTGCCCATGACTGGGATGGGGGAGTCATGGATGACGGTATGAAGGTAAGTCGGAGTGTTAACTTGGAAGTTATTTAAGAGAAGGGGGGCCAGAATGAGGCGTTTTGGATACCCGGTTGCTGGTGTCGGCGTCATTGTTCCGTCATTTGTATGCCTTCGTAACTCAGAACAACAGTTTCGTATTCGTTCATTGTTGGAAGCAACACGTCGGCTGTCTAATATGCCTAAGGACCAACAGTAAACCAACCCGACTTCCCCATAAACGCCGCAACAATGGACAATAGCAAAGGCGGTTGCCCGCACACCAAGGCATCCCATAAAGCGCCAATCCAACCCACAGAGGAAAAGCCCATCCAAATGATCGCTATGCCATGCTAAAAATCACCAAACATCGCCATAATGCGCCGGCCATACCCATGCTTGTTGAAAGGTGTTCTTGCATGGATGACTCCGCAGAAAATCAAGCGTCGTCTTCAAATCGGGGCCTCGGAGTAGCTGGAGTATTCGGGGCCTGCCGGTTCCCAAAGGTGTGCCAGCAGTTGGGGGATTGAAGTATATACCTGTCATATGTTAGCTGAAAATCCTTGGTTGATCTGTGGGATCCAACAACTTACCTCGCCATCGCCTCCCTGAATCGGCTCTTGTACTCGCGCGGACTCGTCACGGTCGGCCTGTTCCGGCCACCGCCCGCAAACCCCCGGTTCTTGATCCAGCTCTCGAGCTGCTTATCCCAGGTGTAGGTCCGAATACAGTCAATGATACCCACAGAGATTTCCTTCTTGACCTCGTCGACCGCAACCATGAGCGAATAATCCATCACGTCCTGTTTGGCCAAGAACAGCGTGTCGTTGAAGACCGACGCCCGAAGCAGCCGCTTCGAGTGCTCCCGCGAAAACAGCGGCGACTCGTAGATGTACTCGACCATGTTTTCATCCAGCAGCACTTCGTTCTGCTCGCCCGTCGACTGGATCTTGCGGTTGCGCATCGACCCCTTGAGGTCAAATGTTCGGCTCGGGCAGCGGTCGTAAAACAGATTTTCCATCACCAGGAGGTCGAGCTTGATCTCCGTATTGGTGAGCGGGTTCTTGATGAAGATGCGGAAGAAGCCAAACATTTTGGCGATGACCGTGGGCAAGTCGTGGAAGAGCGCTTCCGACATGATGCTGAAGTAGTCGGGGGCGAATCGGAGGAACGACGAGGTCTCGCTCGGGGAGAGAGACTTCAGAATGAACCGCTCATCCTGAGTCTTGAGGAAGACCGATTTAGTCTTGCCACCTTTGGAGTCCCACTTCAGACACCGAGAAAGGGACTCGACGAAGCGATCACCCACGCCGCACTTGCGCCGGAGCGCGTCGAACTGCTCGGCGTAGAAGATTTGGCACGTCATCCTCGCTGCGCCCTCGGTGAACTGGTACTTGACATGCATACCCGTCGGCCGAAGAAGACTCTTCTCGAGCTCCGTGTTGTACCTGCTGGCCTTTGCCGCGGTTTTGGCCTCCGGATTAGAGAATTGCGGTCGTTTCATTTCCAGCCCGTCGCTGCTCTCATCCGTGTCCGGCATCTCCCACCGCTGCCGGATTTCCGCCAGCTTTGACATGTAGTCCTCGGAACTGAGGGCAAATGCCACGAGAGAGCTTGGCTCGTCCTCTCTGATGATCACGTCCGAATCGAAGAAGATGTGGTCCGTGGCATTGATGGGATATTCCAACTGCGGCCAGCCACTGGCGGAGCGTTCGGCCCAGAAGTTGGTCAACATGGTCATGAGGCTCTTCTTCTGGTGCTTCGGAAGCTCTTCCGGTATTTCTTCGCTCGGTTCTAGAGAGTCGGCGATCTCCTTCACGTCCGGCAAGATATCGTCGAGGGTGATGGCCGAATGGTCGACATCGCTCTCTACGCCCTCGTCATCAGAAGCGACCCGGCTCTCTTGCCGGCTGTCCTCGGCTTCTGTCTGCGCCACACTCTCGTCAGGCTGTGACGGAAGCTCTTGTGACGATGTGGGTTCGGCCCCCGAAGGTTTAGTTTGCTGCGATTCGGGAAGTGCGACGTCTGCCGTATCAGGACGTGTCCCCGCCTGCTTCTGGCCCCGCTCTTTCTCGAGAAGGTGATCCTCCTCCGACGGCCCCGGCTCTTGCACGGCCTGGTCCACGTCTTTGTAGACTTCTACTATGGTCTTGGTTGAAGACCGCGGCAAGAATGCTCGGGTGTGGTGCATCTTGGCCGCCCGCTGCTTGCGGTCTTTCAACCTCTCCTTTTCAAATTCTCGGCTCAGCTGCTCAAAGTGGCGGGCGAGAGTCGAGACCTTCGATTCCCTCTTATGGACGTATCGCGGGATCCCGGAAGGTCCTGCCTTACGATGGCTCTTCAGGGCCCCAAGACCGATTCGGTCAACGAACTTCTTCTCCCCCTTGAGTATGTTTTCCGTCGATGCCCTTTGTATCTCACCGCCCATATCCTGAGCCCTTTGTTCTTTCAGAAGTTTGCCGATAGCAGACTGTGCCCTCGGTAATGTCCCCGGTGGGTGAGAGATTGCCCGGACCATCGGAGGCGACACGGCTGCGCCCACCTTCCTAGGTAGGGCGCGTTCCGGCGTTGGCTTTGGAATACTAGTAGGATTTGCGCCACCGGCAACTGGGTTCCTAGGTTCGTTGGCCAATGCCCGTTGCTCCCGGCGTATTTGCTCTACTTTCTCTGACAATGACAGCTGGCCCGTGGGAGGAGGCGGTAGTGCACTAGCTTGGGCTGCCAGGGCAACTGCGGAGTTAGATGCGGCCGCTGCTGAGCTAGACGGTCGGTCGCTAGGTGCCTTGGCTACCTCTGGAGCGGCCTCTGGAGCGGCCTCTGGAGCGGGGGGAATGCTTTTCGTGTTCGCGGCGGTTGTCGGGCCTGGAGTCGCGAGGTCCAAGGGTTCAACCCGCTCCAAGAGCGCTTCCGCCTCGACCGCGGCACCTTCTTTTGGCGCAGGAACGGGCTGCACAACAGGAGACGAAGTCTCCTGCGGCTGACTGATTTCGATTTCCGAACTCTGAGATGGGTTCTCTTCAGCTTCGGAACCACCGGGTGGGGACGTAGCGGGGGTGGTTTTGTCTTCTTCGGATGCGACCGACGCAGTCCCGTCAGTACTAGGCAGAGACTCCTTGGACTCGTGATCTGTGAAAATCTTTTTCAGTTGAATGATAGTCAACTGACGAACGTCCTTGTCGGAGAGGAACTCGGCCTCGAATGTGGTAAACGCGGCATCCCAATCCGTCACCTTTTCGAGCATCTCGCGGATGACGGTGTTGAACGGAATGACCTCGTAGTACCTAGAGCCCATGTACGTGTCCTGGAGCGCGCGAATCAGCTCCAGTTGGTCCTCCTGGGCCTTCTTGCTAAGCCTTTCTACTTCGGCCCTGCAGGCCTCTGCTTTCTCCGGAAGCACGCTGTCGATCCGGATGCTCTTGAGTCGAGCACCGACAGAATTCATGAAGCGATTCCAGCGGTCTTCGGCTTTTATGAAGACATCGTTCTTGAGCCTCAAATCGTAGTCCACCTTCCACGTAACTTTCGTCCGCGGTGCGATAATCTCGTAGAGATCGATGGGGTCATAGTGTACCCTCACTGCGATGTCGCGGTGCAGATAGTAAAAGAACCGGATGTGATCCTTCTGGTGGTCATGGGGACACTCTGTCTGAGGATTCAACTGGAGCCCGCTGCTCCAGAATGAGAGTTCGAGATATTTACCGAACGAGTACTTCCAGGTGCTCACAGACATGGGCATTAGCCCAAAATGCTTGTTGCAGTGCTTGCAATAATTCCACATGCATATGCCGGTCCCGTCATTGTCGCCGATGTTATCCTGCGGCTTCTCTGGAAAGTTTTCTGGCCACGCTGGGGACGTTTCCAAAATGATGGTGAGGCGGGCGTTGTCATGGACATAGGTGCGGTGGTGCTCAAACATCTTCCGATCACATCCGTTGGAGTGACAAATGAATTCGGCGCCCTCGCAGACGTCTTCAATGTATTGGCCGAGGGTGCAATCCTGGTCCATGCTTCCGTTCGGGTCGGGGTGCTCGTTATAAAACTCAATCGCGACCAGACTGGGCTCCGAGCATGGGATTTTCGTCGCCGTGCAAGTGACCGAATAGAGGACAACGATGTTCTGGTGCGAGTAGGGGTCGAAGAGGTCAGCACTCCCGTGGATATACGCCTCCCATTGTTTCGCCTGTGTTCGGTAGCTGTGTAGCGCTTTGTCGTATTCAGCATCGTGAACAGCGTGGAGAACCTCCATGACCTTTCGGGGAGCCCTCTGTTCAACCCCCCGTACCATTTCTGGTTTGACCAGTTGAAACGGCTCTGGGCTTTGCTTCTCGTCTTCACCGAACCCATCCATGCGCTCCTGCTCGAGGAGCTGCCTCAGATAGGTCGCGCGCCGCTCCTGCTCCCGCGCCTTCATGAGCAGATATGGTTGCCTGAATTTGACAAACGGGGATGTGGATAGAATCCTTGTCTCATACTTTGCTACCGTGTCGCTGTGGAAGGCGGGCATGGGTATGTCATCGGGCACCTGCGCATGGGAGTGTAGCGCGTGCATGGATATTGACCCTTGGTCCTGCTCAGCGGCTGGCGCCTGCGCAACTAGGTCGGTGCCGGTTCTGGACGGCTCCGGGTCAGCAGCCATAGTCGCGCCCTCGTTGCCCCGTAAAAGGTGACCACTCTCTGTGCTCTGCCGGGTGATGAGAATGGCAGGACGGCTGCTCGAGGGGTCGGGGACTCTACCAGGACGCAGCATGAGGCTGTCATTGCTCTCCCCTACGGGCAATGCCGGCGGTGCCGGTAGCGTAGGCTCCGAATTCGGAATCTGCACGAACTCGTCGCGCATGAGGCAGGACTCCAGCTTCAGGTTATAGATGACGTAGACCATGAATTCGGTGATGCGCTTCATCCGGGAGAGCACCTCGGTGGAGGCACCACGAAGCGCGATGGTACAACCACGGTCTTTTGGACAACCGGATATGAAGATGTACGTTTTCTTCTTACCCCTGATCTCGTTGTTCACAAACGTCTTGACCTCGAAGCTCTCGCTCATACCGACCCGAACGCCGAGGCTGAGCATGTCCATTGACGAAATGACCGGCATGCTGACGATGCGCGCCACGGCTTCAAGAACGGATGGCTTGACGTTGTAGGCCACGGCGACGTTTGCTTCCGAGAGATATTGGAGCGCAATCCCGGCCACGCTCTTCTCCACTAGTAGCACATGGGGCTCCAGGTTGAGGATCCGGTTGACAACCATCCTCAGGTATTCCTTCTCCTGTTCGATGACTGGCTGCAAGCTCATAAAATGCTGTTCCGGGTGGCGTTGGTACTCGAGCGGAAAGGTGATGATGACAATCCTCGGGTTGCGAATCTTGCGTGGCATGCTCTTGAGCGCAAGGTTTTTGGTGAACACGACCCCGTGGACATAGGCTGTATCGGATGGCTTGCCGCCCGGGATCCGTTTCAGCTTCACCCAGTGCCGGATATCCATGTCGTCGCCGTTGCGGATGTCTGGGTCGACATCGTCGGCGCACCTATCTAGGATAGGAACCAGGGTTTTTTCCCAGCCCACAGGATTGGGAATTTCGGCATCTTGAAGTAGCTGTCGGAAAAGCTTCTTCACGTGTTGTAGGCTTGCAGGGTTCATGCTTTCCTCTGTTGATTTCCCGTCACGCATGGAGTCGTTCCGCTTCAACCCGGGAGCCTCGATGGCGTTCTCAAATATGGAAAGAGTGTCAGCCGAGGCAGAGGCGCCTTTCAAAACAGCAGATTTCGGCCAGGGGGAGCGCGGGTGATGGATGCTCGCGCTCGCGATGCTGAGGTTCCTCCGTCGCGGCGGGCGTGTGTGGATTGATAGATTCTGCAGGCCACTGCCCTCCTCATACCCGCGGCTCGCGTGGCTGAATCCGCTTATGCTCTTCTCCCCTGGACGGAATCGATATTTCCTCCCCGCGCTCAGGTAGGTACCAAAGCTCGCTCGGCCAGGATCGAGGCTGGCTGGTTGAAAGTCGCCGCTGTTCATGGTGGTAAAAATGTTGCTCAAGTTCAGCGGGTCTTCCTACCTGATCCGAGGTCAACCTTGGGTTAAAAGAAGTGGTTTAACGGCCGGAACCCGCGGCGCGACCAGAGCGGAA